TGCAATGTTCAATCTATAAGGACCTTCCTACATGACAACAATGCAAGTGTCAAACAACGTGTAAAAAATTATGTACAAATCACAAAGTCTAGCTGGTAAGAACTTTGTTACATGCACACTATGGTGTACACTTTAGCTTACACTTTGCCAGGTGACATTACCCTATTGAACAGTTTAAATTTCAAACAGTTTTCCCATAAAAATTGACACTTGACAACAATGCAAGTTTCAAACTACTTGTCAAAAACCAGTGTCCAAATAGCAAAGTTCAATCGGTAAGGACCTTGCTACATGTACACTACGGTGTACACTTTAGTTTACACTTTGCCACGTACCGTGTTGGACAATTTAAATTTCAAACAACTTTTCCATCCAATTGACACTTGACAACAATGCAAGTGTCAAACAACGTGTCAAAAATTTGTGTCCAGATAGCAAAGTTCAATGGGTAAGGACCTTGCTATATGTAAACTATGGTGTACACTTTAGTTTACACTTTGCCACGTGACATTACCGTGTTGGACAGTTTATATTTCATACAGTTTTCCCATCTAATTGACACTTGAGTACAATACAACTGTCAAACGACGTGTCAAAAATCAGTGTACAAATAGCAAAGTTCAATTGGTAAGAACCTTGTTACATGTACACTATAGTGTATGCTCCAGTTTACACTTTGCCACATGTCATTACCCTGTTTGACAGTTTGAATTTTAAATATTTTTCCCATCTAGTTCACACTCAACAACAATGCAAGTGTCAAACAATATGTCAAAAATCAATGTACAAATTGCAAAATTCAATTGGTAAGAGCCTTGCTACATGTACACTATGGTGTATGCTTCAATTTACACTTTGTCAAGTAACATTACCTCGTTGGACAGATTAAATTTCAAACAATTTTCCCTTCCAATTGATACTTGACATCAATGCAAGTGCCAAAAATCAGTGTACAAATAGCAAAGTTCAATCGATAAGAACCTTGCTACATGTACACAATGGTGTGCACTTTAGTTTACACCTTGCCACATGACATTGGCCTGCTGGACAGTTTGAATTTCAAGCACTTTTCTCATCCAATTGATATTTGATAGCAATGAAAGTGTCAAACAACGCGCCAAAAATAAGTGCACAAATAGCAAAGTTCAATCGGCAAGAACCTTGCTACATGTACAATATGGTGTACACATTAGTTTACACTTTGTCACGTGAAATTACCCTGTTGGACTGTTTAAATTTCAAATTATTTTCGTATCCAATTGACACGTGACAACAATGTAAGCTTCAAACAACGTGTTAAAAGTTAGTGTACAAATAGCAAAGTTCAATCGGTATGAACCATCCTACATGTACACTATGGTGTACACTTTAGTTTACACTTTGCCACGTGAGATTGCCCTATTAGACAGCATAAATTTCAAACATTTTACCCATCCAATTGACACTTAACAACAATGCAAGTGTCGAACAACGTGTCAAAGATCAGTGTACAAAGAGCAAAGTTCAATCGGCAAGAACTTTGCAACATGTGCACTATGGTGTAGACATTAGTTTACACTTTGCCACGTGATATTACCCTGTTGGACTGTTTAAATTTCAAACAGCTTTCGCATCCAATTGACACTTAACAACAATGTAAGTTTTAAATAACATGTTAAAAATTTGTGTACAAATAGCAAAGTTCAATCGGTATGAACCATCCTATATGTACACTATGGTGTACACTTTAGTTTACACTTTGCCACGTGACACTACCCTATTAGATAGTATAAATTTCAAATAGTTTGCCCATCCAATTGACACTTGACAACAATTTAATTGTCAAACAATGTGTCAAAAATTAGTGCACAAATAGGAAAGTTCAATAGGTAAGAACCTTGCTACATGTACACTATGGTGTACACTTTAGTTTACACTTTGCCGCATGACATACCCTATTAGACAATATAAATTTTAAACAGTTTTCTCATCCAATTGGCACTTGAGAACAATGCAAGTGTCAAACAACGTGTCAAAAATCAGTGTACAAAGAGCAAAGTTCAATCGGCAGGAACCTTGATACATGTACACTGTGGTGTACACTTTAGTTTACACTTTGCCACGGGACATTACTTTATTAGACAGCATAACTTTTAAACAGTTTTCGTATCCAATTGACACTTGACATCAATGCAAGTCTCAAACAAAGTATCAAAAATCAGTGTACAAATAGCAAAGTTCAATCGATAAGAACCTTGCTACATCTAAAAATGGTGTACACTTTAGTTTACACCTTGCCACGTGACATTACCCCGCTGGACAGTTTAAATTTCAAGCTATTTTCCCATCCAATTGACATTTGACAACAATGCAAGTGTCAAACAACGTGGCAAAGATAAGTGCACAAATAGTAAAATTCAATCGGTAAGAATCTTGCTACATGTACAATATGGTGTACACATTAGTCTATGCTTTGCCACGTGACATTACCTTGTTGGACTGTTTAAATTTCAAAGCTTTCGCATCCAATTGAGACTTAACAGCAATGTAAGTTTTAAACAACGTGTTAAAAATTAGTATACAAATAGCAAAGTTCAATCGGTATGAACCATCCCACATGTACACTATGGTGTACACTTTAGTTTACACTTTGCCATATGACATTACCCCATTAGACAGTATAAATTTCAAATAGTTTACCCATACAATTGACACTTGACAACAATGCAAGTGTCAAATAATGTGTCAAAAATCAGTGTACAAATAGGAAAGTTCAATCAGTAGGAACCTTGCAACATGTACACTATTGTGTACACTTTAGTTTACACTTTGCCACGTGATATTACCCCGTTGGATAGCTTAAATTTCAAAATGTTCTCCCATCAAATTGAAACTTGACAACAATGCAAGTGTCAAACGACGTGTCAAAAATCCTTGTACAAATCGCAAAGTTCAATAGGTAAAAATCGTGCTACATGTACACTATGGTGTACTCCTTGGTTTACACTTTCCCACTTGACATTTCCCTGCTGGATAGTTTAAAATTTAAACAGTTTTCCCATCCAATTGACGCTTGACAACAATCCAAGTGTCAAACAACTTGTAAAAAATCAGTGTACAAATTGCAAAGTTCGATAGGTAAGAACCTTGCTACATGTACACTATGGTGTACACTTTAGTTTATACTTTGTCGCGTGACATTACTCTGCTAGACAATATAGATTTTAAACAGTTTTCTCATCCAATTGGCACTTGAGAACAATGCAAGTGTCAAACAACGTGTCAAAAATCAGTGTACAAAGAGCAAAGTTCAATCGGCAAGAACCTTGATACATGTACACTATGGTGTACACTTTAGTTTACACTTTGCCACGGGACATTACTCTATTAGACAGTATAAATTTTAAATAGTTTTCGCATCCAATTGACACTTGACATCAATGCAAGTCTCAAACAAAGTGTCAAAAATCAGTGTACAAATAGCAAAGTTCAATCAATAAGAACCTTGCTACATGTAAAAATGGTGTACACTTTAGTTTACACCTTGCCACGTGACATTACCCTGCTGGACAGTTTAAATTTCAAGCAGTTTTTCCATCCAATTGATATTTGACATCAATGCAAGTGTCAAACAACGTGCTAAAAATAAGTGCACAAATAGCAAAGTTCAATCGGTAAGAACCTTGCTACATGTACAATATGGTGTACACATTAGTTTACGCTTTGCCACGTGACATTACCCTATTGGACTGTTTAAATTTCAAACAACTTTCGCATCCGATTGACACCTGACAACGATGTAAGTTTCAAACAACGTGTTAAAAATTAGTGTACAAATAGCAATGTTCAATCGGTATGAACCATCCTACATGTACACTATGGTGTACACTTTAGTTTACGCTTTACCACGTGAGATTACCCTATTAGATAGTATAAATTTCAAATAGTTTACCCATTCAATTGACACTTGACGATAATGCAAGTGTGATACAAGGTGTCAAAAATCAGTGTACAAATAGCAAAGTTCAATCGGCAAGAACCTTGCTACATGTGCACTATGGTGTAGACATTAGTTTACACTTTGCCACGTGACATTATGTAATACCTTGAACTTCGTGTTCTACATTTGGCCAATATGATTCATGCATTCCATGCTAATTACATTGTCATTTGCATCAACTTCCTAATTACTTTCTCTTAAAAACGTGTGTTTGATCATCGAGGCTTTAAAATCTTTATATAGTGATGATCTTTGACTGCTCGACCTAAGTAATGAATTTCACATTGAGCTATGATAGAAAATTGGGTTAACTAGATGTTGAAGATTAGCTTGGTAAGTAATGGAAATCGAAGAGGTCGGGAATTAGTATCGACAAAAGTTTAGGCTTTCTATTCAATTGTTCGAGGTCACGTTAAACCCTAGATAGGTAATTGACGTATTTGGGACATGAGACATAAAGGGACATGATCATGATGCGATAATATGTGTCTGATATGACGTTATAAATATTGAGGTGCAAATTGTGGAAATTAATCTAGAATCGGGTATTAATCGGGTAAGTAATTAAATGAACGGTTGAGGAATTAGTCCTATGAAATACTTTATGATCTTAGGACAAGTGAAATGGATTGTAAACACGTCAAAATAAACCGAGGATACTTGGTTTGTGCCTGCAAAGATAGATATAAAATCAGATTTTTGCTACAAGTGACCACCTCATGCTTGAACACCTCGCGCTTGGGATGTTTGTCATTTTAGCACTCAATTCCTTCAACCTTAAGGCATCATTCTCGTGTATACTCCCTAAACATTTAATATAGGATAGATATATATCTTAAAAGTCACAAATGAATCCAAATATAATGGTTGAAAGTCAAGTATTGCTGCCATGAAGACACCTCATGCTAAGACACCTCATGCTTGGGGTATTTTAACATTTTAACACTCAATTTCTTTAACCTTAAGGCATGATCTCGTGTAGGAGGGATATATATATCTTATAAAAAATCCAAATATAGTGGTAGAAAGGTCAAATATTGCAGCAAGAAGCCACCACCTGCTTAGTGACTCACCTTGATGGCTTGATGTGGCTTCAGCCCATAAATTCCTTAATCCTTAAGCAATAAGCACGACCTTAACTATTTAAAGACCACTTATCTACCTCCTAGATAATATGTTAACTCCATTATCTCGTATCTAAGTGATTCCAAGTGAAAAAGAGAGTGAAAGAACCAAAGAGAAATAGAAACAGCAAGCTCGAATTTCTGGACAGCCAAGTTACTTCACAGTTTTGAGGTTTGTATCCATTATTTCTTGAGGGGTTTATAATCTCTTGAACCCATGAACTTGCTTTTGATTAGGTTAGAGTTTTTTAAATGATTTCATGATGCCAAAAATAGGGGTAAATAGTTACAAGAATTTGAAAGAAAGCAATCTGTACAGTGATGTAGAATTGCTAGAGTTAAGTGGTTTAAACTTTGATTTTGGATAATACTTAAGATATAACTTGTATCTATGTAAATGAATGTTTTTACATGATAGTTATAAGGATATAAATGGCCTTCTAATAGCCTGAAATCCGATTGGTAGCATGCTAATAAAATAGAAACCGAAAACTGTCATAATGGAAAACTGTCTGATTTTAGTGTTGTGGAAATGGACTATTTTGGAGGCTGAGAACACTTTACTTGTCACTAATTTAGAGAATGATTACCTTCATATATGTGTTATAGAAATGTGGTAAAAATTTCAGAGTCATTGGATATAGATAAGGGGGTGAAAAGGGATTGGAAAAATAATTGGACGGTAAGGGAAATCTGAAAACAGATTCTGTCCAATTTTGTGTTTAATATGATTTCAGCCTTTACATGTACATTAATCATCTCTTGGGCCTAGAAAATAGATTCTGAGGGTACTAGGTTGTCAACAACAATTGGATGATGTTGGCGTTCATAATTTGACTCGAGAAATAGCGAGATTTATGGGATAAGTTTGTAATGCCATCGGGTAACTTGAAATGATGATTCCGTCTAAATTATTTTGGTGAGAATGGATGTATTTTGGGATTTGGTGCGTTAAGGTTATTAAATTGAGGATTCTCTTTAATATTAAATGGTAATACAGGTGATTTTCCGACTTCGAGTGAAAAAGGATATTGATCTAATCTCCATAGAAGCTTGCACACACAAAGGTGAAAGGTAAGTGAAAATCCATTTGCAACTACGATGCAAGAACCTAGTACATGTGACATAGTAATGTTGAAATATCTACATAACTTTGATAAGAGGCTTATAGCACATCATATGGTGGTTACGATCATTGAGTATGAGGTTGTGTAACCTATTGACATCGATTTCCATTAAATACGTCATTTATGAGCATTTTCATATGCATGCACGACATGTGACATGGTTGAAAATCCTGCATGCAAAACATGATTTCAAAGTGAGTTTCATTATAAATGTTTTATTGACTACTACTGGGGCACCAAGGCATGTGAGGCATGCTTATGTGATATGTTTGGCATTGCGGGTGTTACTTCCTAGGTGATTGAAAAGGTAGATAGGGGATGGGCCTTTGGTGATCACGGGAGGGCAGACCACTCGACTATGCCCTTGTGATATTATGATTATTGGCGCTGCCGGGTGGGAAACTTCTTGGGTGATCATAGGGGTAGTCACGGGATGGGCCTCTAGTGGTCACGAGAGGATGGTCCACTCGTTGGTGTCGATTTCATATGGGCCATTTGATTATTGACATTGATATTATGCAGAGCTCTATCTGGTGAATAGGAGGGTCAAGGGCTCAATGAAATGAAAGATTTCAAGTGAAATGATTTCTAGTCGACTTTGACGAATATTGAAATATGATACTTTTTATCGTGATATTTAAAGTAAATGGCATGGTGTCATATGTTGTTATTACTCATGTTCAGGACATGCATGATTTTGCTTACTAAGCATTGGCTTATGTAGTTCTTGCATCGTAGGTGAGCATGGAACTACATAGAGAGCATGGCTAGCTATGGAGCTCTTACAGGATTCCAAAGTTTGATGTACATGGATGACGACCTGTAGGGTTATTTTTTAGGCTGCCATCTATTGGGTTATATTTTGGAATCCTATATAGTGTACTTTTGAAATGGCCTGTAGACACGTTTATAAGCTCAGAATATATATATGTTGGATTATGGCGATATGATTTTTGGGTTTCGATATGCTATATGATCGTGTCACAGGTGATTAGAAGTTAACAAACTAAAAAAAAATGTAAAATTTATATCTAGGTTGTGTATAGATATCAATGTTAATTTGGGGGCGTGACACATTACCCTGTTCGACTGTTTAAATTTCAAACAGCTTTCGTATCCAATTGACACTTAACAACAATGTAAGTTTTAAACAATTTGTTAAAAATTAGTGTACAAATAGAAAAGTTCAATTGGTATGAACCATCCTACATGTACACTATGGTTGTAAATCCCCAAACTTCCTGTTATATATTTGGCCAATATGATTTATGCATTTCATGCTATTCACAATGTTACTTGCATTAGTTTTCTTAATTACTTTATCTTAAAATGGTGCATTCGATTATGGATATTTTAAGATTTTAGTCTTCGACTCCTAGACCTAGGTGTTGAATTTTGTATTGAGCTATGATAGAAAATTAGGTTAACTAAATTTTGGAGATTGGCTTATAAGAAATGGAATATCGAAAAGGTCGGAAATCGGTATCGACAAAAGTTCAAGCTTTCTATTCGGTTGATCGAGACCACCGTAAACCCTAGATAGGTAATTGACATATTTGGGACATGATACATAAAGGAACATGATCATGATGCGATAATATATGTCTCATATGACATTATAAATATCGAGGTGCGATTTGATGAAATCGGTCGAGAATGGTGTGTCAATCGGGTAAGTAATTAAATGACCGATTGAGGAATTAGCTGTATAAAATATTTTGGGATCTTAGGGCAAGTGAAATGGATTGTAAACACATTAGCATAAGCCCAGGATGCTTGATTTATACCTGCAAAGATAGATATAAAATCAGATTTTTTTTTACTAGTGACCACCTCATGGTTGAACACCTCATGCTTTTAATATTTATCATTTTAACACCCAATTCCTTTAACCTTAAGGCATAAATCTCCTGTCCTACTCCTTAAGCACTTATTATAGGATGAATATATATCTTATAATCATAAATGGATCCAAATATAATGGTTGAAAATCAAGTATGGTTGCAATGAAGACACGTCGTGCTTGGCACCTCATGCTTGGCATAGTTGTCATTTTAACACTCAATCCCTTCATCCTTAAGATATATATCACGTCTCCTACTTCTTTTTATTTAATATAGATATATATATATATATATATATATATATATCTTATAAATCAATATAAGTTAAATAGTCAAAGAGAAAAGTCAAATATAGTAGGAAAAGACCACCTCATGCTAAACACTTGGCTGCACCCCACATTTTCTTAATCCTTAAGGAAGAGTCACGTCTCCAGCATCTTTAAGACTTTATATACACATCCTAACAACATGTTTAGTCTTACAAATTATCCCCAATTGACCACCGATTGAAAGAGAAAGCAAAAAGGAAAAGAGAGAAGCAGAAACAAGGAGCTGAAATTGAATTTCTGGATAGGTGAGTTTAGCTCACGGTTTTGGAGTTTTCTTTAGTTTTTTTGCTTGTTTTATAATATGTTTAAACTATAAACTTACTTGAGGCTAAGTATAAGGGTTTTTTATGATTTTATGATTGCAAAAGAGAGGGGTAATTGAGTACAGGAACCTGAAAGAAACCAACAGGAATAGAGATGTGTTGATTGATGAATTTGGATGGTCTAAACTTTGATTTTGGATAATACTGAAGATATAACTTGTATCTATGTAAATGAATGTTGTTATATGGGATTTATAAGGATATAAATGGTCTTCTAATAGCCTGGAATCTGTTTGATGACATGCTAATAAAATGGAAACCGAAAGCTGTCACAATGAAAACTGCCTGATTTTGATGTCGTAGAAATGGAATTTTTTGATGCTGAGAACACTTGATTTGTCACGACTTTAGAGCATTATTGTCTTCACATACATGTTATAGAAACGTGGTAAAAATTTGGGAGTCATTGGATATGGATAAGGGGGTGAAAACGGACTGGAATAGTAGTTGGACGGTGATGAAACCTGAAAAACAGGTTCTGTCCATTTATGTGTTTAATATGATTTCAACCTTTACATGTAAATTAATTATCTCTTGGGCCTAGAAAATAGATTCTTAGGAGTATTAGGTTGTTGAAAACAATTGGATGACGTTGATGTTGGTAATTGGACTCGAGGAAAAATGAGACTTATTGGACGAGATTGTAATGCCGTTAGTAACTTGAATAATGAATTCGTTTAAATTATTTTGACGTGAATGGAAGTATTCTGGGATTTTGTGTGTGTTAAGGCTATTAAATGGAGGATTGTCTTTAATATTAAATGGTAATACAGGTGATTTCCGACGTTGAATGAAAAAGGAAAGTGATATAGTCTCCGTAGGAGCTTGTGCGCACACAAGGGCAAAAAGGTAAGTAAAAATCCATTTGCAACTACGTTGCAAGAACCTAGCATTTGTGGTATAGTGATGTTAGGATATTTTCATACTTTGATAAGAAAGCTCGTTGTACCCTATATAATGATTATGATCATTGAGTATGCGGTTGCAAAATACATTGATATCAACTTCCATTAAGCATGTCATTCATGAGCATTTTCGTTGGCATGCACAACATATGATTATGGTTGAAAACTTTGCATGTGAAACATGATTTCAAAGTAAGTTTTCTTTATAAATGTTTTATTGACCACTACTAGGGCATCGAGGCATGTGAGGAATGCTTATGTGATATGTTTGGCATCGCGAGTGATACTTCCTGGGTGATTGCAAAGGTAGACAGGGGATGGGCCTTTGGTGATCACGGGAGGGCGGACCACTCGACTATGCCCTTGTTATGATTATTGGTGCTGCCAGGTGGGAGACTTCTTGGGTGATCATAGGGCTAGTTAGGGGATGGGCCTCTAGTGGTCATGAGAGGATGGTCCACTCGCCAGTGTCGATTTCATATTGGCCACTTGATTATTGATATTGATATTATGCAGAGCTCTATCCGGTGCATAGTTGGTGGGTCTAGGGCCCAATGAAATGAAAGATTTCAAATGAAATAATTTCGAGTCAACTTTGATGAATATTGGAATATGATACATCTTTAGCATGATGTTTAAAGTAAATAACATGGTGTCACATAACCTTGTTACTCATACTCATGACATGCATGATTCTTGCTTACTAAGCATTGGCTTATGTAGTTCCTGCATTGTAGGTGAGCATGGAACTATGTAGAGGGCACGGCTAGCTGTGGAGCTCTTACGGGATTCCAAAGATCAATGTACATGGATGACGACCTGTACGGTTATTTTGTGGGCTATTGGTTTTTTTGTACACTTTAGTTTACACTTTGCCACGTGACATTACCCTGCTAGACAGTTTAAATTTCAAACACTTTTCCCATGCAATTGACATTTAACAACAATGCAAGTGTCAAACAACGTGTCAAAAATCATTGTGCAAATAGCAAAGTTCAACCGATAAGGACCTTGCTACGTGTACACTATGGTGTACACTTTAATTTACATTTTGCAAGATGACATTACCTGTCACACCCCAAATATATACAGATAACCATACTAATTCCTATGTCGAAATGATATTGGTAACTCGATATAGACATAAAATTTAGATATACTTTTTTAAAAAAAAAATGAAACGAGCATTTGCACAATTATGTCCCTATTTGTTAACTTCAAATCACTTGTGATGATCATAGCCCCTCAAGAAATCTTTCTACCTTCAGTACCTTAGTATTAATCATGTGGGTAGCAAACGTGGATAGTTGTTCAAATTTACGAATATACTCTCCCACTGTCATCCTTCCTTATCTTAGCTGTATAAATTCATTCATCTTCATGGTTCGAACTAGGGCTGTAAAATATTTATTACGGAATAACTCTTTAAATCTATCCCAAGTCATGGTATTTACATCTTTAATACTACTCATCGTATCCCACCATTGTCCAGCACTACCTCGTAGCATAAAGGATGCACAAACTACTTTTTCTACTTCCGAAACTCTCATATACCTGAAAATATTCTCTAAAGTTCTCGACCAATCCTCTGCAGCTGTTGGATCTAATGCATCCTCAAATATTGGAAGGTTTAGTTTTCTAAATGTTTCTCCAACTTCCTCAATATGTTCAGCCCATTGTTGTGGTTGTATGAATTCAGCCCTTTGATGTTTTCCCCTTTCTTCTTGTTGTATTAATTGCTGAATTTGTTGAGATTGTCGCTCAACTAGTTCCGTTAGTCTATCAATAACAACATCCCGACTGTCATCTTGAACAGATGCCTCTTGCCCTGGAGTTCTAGCTCTGCTATAACTAGCATCTCTGGTTCTCACCATGGCTGTAAGTAAAGATTGGCCAATATCATTCATGAAGTATGTAAAAATAATGCAACAAATAAAACTTATAGGCTTAGCTGTGCTCTTTCGTACTCCGAGATCATGTACATGGACAGTCTACAGAATTATAACCTTGCTCTGATACCACTCTCTGTCACACCCCAAATATATACAAATAACCATACTAATTCCTATGTCGAAATGATATTGGTAACTCGATCTAGACATAAAATTTAGATATACTTTTTTTTAAATAAAATGAAACGAGCATTTGCACAATTATGTCCCTATTTGTTAACTTCAAGTCACCTGTGATGATCATATATTATATCAAAATCAATGATCATAACCATAATCCAACACGTATGTTCTAAGGTTATAAACACATCTATAGGCCATTTCAAAAGTTATACAAGATAGGACCCCCGAAATACGACACAATAGAGTGTAAGCTCAAAACAATAGCCCACAAAATAACCCTACAGGTCGTCATCCATGTACATTTATCTTTGCAATCCCATAAGAGCTCCACAGTTGGCCGTGCCCTCTACATAGTTCCATGCTCACCTACAACGCAAGAACTACACAAGCCAATGCTTAGTAAGCAAGAATCATGCATGTCATGAGTATGAGTAACAAGGATATGTGATACCATGTCATTTACTTTAAACATCATGCTAAAGATGCATCATATTCCAATACTCATCAAAGTCGACTCGAAATTATTTCATTTGAAATCTTTCATTTCATTGGGCCCTTGACCCACCTACTATGCACCGGATAGAGCTCTGCATAATATCAATATCAATAATCAAGTGGCCAATATGAAATAGACACCGGTGAGTGGACCATCCTCTCGTGACCGCTAGAGGCCCATCCCCTAACTACCCCTACGATCACCCAAGAAGTCTCCCACCCGGTAGTGCCAATAATCATAACAAGGGCATAGTCCAGCGGTCCGTCCTCTCGTGATCACCAAAGGCCCATCTCCTGTCTACCTTTGCAATCACCCAGGAAGTATCACCCGCGATGCCAAACATATCACATAAGCATGCCTCATATGCCTCGGTGCCCTAGTAGTGGTCAATAAAACATTTATAAAGAAAACTTACTTTGAAATCATATTTCGCATGCAAAGTTTTCAACCATGATCACATGTTGTGCATGCCAACGAAAATGCTCATGAATGACATGCTTAATGGAAGTTGATGTCAATGTATTTTGCAACCGCATACTCAATGATCATAATCATCATATAGGGTACAACAAGCTTTCTTATCAAAGTATGAAATATCCTAACATCACTATACCACAAATGCTAGGTTCTTGCATCGTAGTTGCAAATGGATTTTTACTTACCTTTTTGCCCTTGTGTGTGCACAAGCTCCTACGGAGATTATATCACTTTCCTTTTTCACTCAACGTCGGAAAATCACCTGTATTACAATTTAATATTAAAGACAATCCTCCATATAATAGCCTTAACACACACAAAATCCCAAAATACTTCCATTCACGTCAAAATAATTTAAACGAATTCATTATTCAAGTTACTAATGGCATTACAATCTCGTCCCATAAGTCTCATTTTTCCTCGAGTCCAATTACCAACATCAACGTCATCCAATTGTTGTCAACAACCTAATACTCCTTAGAATCTATTTTCTAGGCCCAAGAGATAATTAATTTACATGTAAAGGTTGAAATCATATTAAACACATAAATGGACAGAACCTGTTTTTCAGGTTTCATCACCGTCCAACTACTTTTCCAATCCGTTTTCACCCCTTATCCATATCCAATGACTCCCAAATTTTTACCACGTTTCTATAACATGGATTTGAAGACAATAATGCTCTAAAGTCGTGACAAATCAAGTGTTCTCAGCATCAAAACAGTCCATTTCCACGACATCAAAATCAGGCAGTTTTCATTGTGAAAGCTTTCGGTTTCCATTTTATTAGCATGTCATCAAACAGATTCCAGGCTATTAGAAGACCATTTATATCCTTCTAAATCCCATATAAAAACATTCATTTACATAGATACAAGTTATATCTTCAGTATTATCCAAAACCAAAGTTTAAACCATCCAAATTCATCAATCAACGCATCTCTATTCCTGTTGGTTTCTTTCAGGTTCTTGTAGTCAATTACCCCTCTCTTTTACCATCATAAAATCATAAACAACCCTTATACTTAGCCTCAAGTAAGTTTATAGTTTAAACATATTATAAAACAAGCAAAATAACTACAGAAAAACTTCGAAACCGTGAGCTAAACTCACCTATCCAGAAATTCAATTTCAGCTCCTTGTTTCTGCTTCTCTCTTTTCCTTTATGCTTTCTCTTTCAATCGGTGGTCAATTGGGCATAATTTGTAAGACTAAACATGTTGTTATGAGGTGTATATAAAGTCTTCAAGATGCTGGAGACGTGACTCTTCCTTAAGGATTAAGAAAATGTGGTGTTCAGCCAAGTGTTTAGCATGAGGTGGTCTTTTCCTACTATATTTGACTTTTCTCTTGGACTATTTAACTTATATTGATTTATAAGATATGTACATCTATCTATAATAAATAAAAAGAGGTAGGAGACGTGCTATATAGCTTAAGGATGAAGGGATTGAGTGTTAAAATGACAACTATCCCAAGCATGAGGTGCCAAGCACGACGTGTCTTCATTGTAGCCATACTTGATTTTCAACCATTATATTTGGATCCATTTATGATTATAAGATATATATTCATCCTATAATAAGTGCTTAAGGAGTAGGAGAGGATATTTATGCCTTAAGGTTAAAGGAATTGGGTGTTAAAATGATAAATATTAAAAGCATGAGGTGTTCAACCATGAGGCGGTCACTAGTAAAAAAAAATCTGATTTTATATCTATCTTTGCAGGTATAAATAAAGTATCCTGGGCTTATGTTAATGTTTTTACGATCCATTTCACTTGCCCTAAGATCACAAAATATTTTATAGAGCTAATTCCTCAATCGTTCATTTAATTACTTACCCGATTGACACCCCATTCTCGACCGATTTCATCAAATCGCACCTCGATATTTATAATGTCATATGAGACATATATTATCGCATCATGATCATGTTCCTCTATGTATCATGTCCCAAATATGTCAATTACCTATCTAGGGTTTAAGGTGGTCTCGATCAACCGAATAGAAAGCTTGAACTTTTGTCGATATCGATTTCCGACCTTTTCGATATTCCATTTCTTATCAAGCCAATCTCCAACATTTAGTTAACCTAATTTT